GCCGATGATCGCACGTACAGGTAGCAGCATACTTCCAGTAACCGGAGCGATATATCTTACGCAGATTGGCCCGCACTCCTTGAGCCACCAACGCTCCGAATACATTCCAGGCTTCAAATGCTCCGGGCCCCGAAACCCTGTGCCGCCATAAGCAACCGTAGAAGATGCTGCCGCGACGACGCCAGTGGCAAAACGCCCCACGGCAAAACGGGGTTGATCATATTTCACCATAAATGAAAAAGGGTAGGAATAGAGCGGACTTACAAGACCGGACGCTCTTCTTCGACGACCGAGTTAGGAAGGATAGAAGTAGATAAAGCCCCAAAACCAGCGCCCGAGAGTTCTGTACACCGCGCACTAAGGTGGTGCACGTGCAGGGGGATCACGGTGCCATGCCAGTGATATAACTTATTTCTAGGGAAATTCGCAGATCCTCCCTTGAATAAAAGAAACCCACAGATCTCCTTGGAACCGGCGGAGACGCGGCCATGACCTAGCGAAAGGTACCAAAGACCTTGACACCCAACCGTTCGGTATTTCCTTTACTTGCATTAGTGCCCCGGTTTTGACCCCGATTACGCTTCTATTGCAGACGGGAAGGGTGCGCGACTATCCGACAAGCAGAATATATATTGGAATTCATTGCATCTCACAAAGGACGATACGCCCACCTGGAGTTCTTCCCCTTGCTGGGAAGATACATATCATTCGTCACACTCTCAAGGAAGCGCTCTAATCTATTTTCTGCGTACCTTTACCCCCTGTGGTAGCCCGGCTTTATGGAACGGCAATGCCCTATCAATAGAGCGCCAGGAATCCGGAGCTGCCCCCTTTGTCATATCGCTTTGGGCAGTGCTAGCGGTGTCCCCACCACCCAAGTAAATCTTACGCATATTAATAGAGAGATTCGTTGTGATGGTAGTGGCGGTCGGTTCCGACGGCGTGCTTTGAAACTTACTGTCGGACCTTTAATCTACAGGTGGTATATGCTCGAGTCTGTAGGCTTTTCTACGCCTATGCGATTTATTGTCAGACGAGTCCTGCATAGGACTAGTGGCAGCACGCCTTGTCAAATGGCTGGTAGAAAAAGAACCTTGATCGACGCCACGTAGCTGACTATCACAAACCGAGGCCCTGGATTGGCGGCGGCTTGTTGCGGCTGGACAGGTTACGATACGACCGCGACGGTCTCTGAAGAGTGACCGGCGATTGAGAGAAAGAAGGTGCTTAGATAGACCAGAAAGATGGATACTCTTTCAACCAACAGTAAGAGAAGCCTGAGAGGTCGCAGCCCTCTGTGAAACAGTCTGAATTACTATATAAGTACTCGCTGCAATGATTTTCGCCATTTATATCTGTTGCTTGCGTTCACAGCTAGCCTGGTAGCCAAGAAAACACCGGAAACGGAGCGCCAGATGGAGGCAAAAGCTACATAGTTATTGGCTCGATCTTGCCAAAGCAAGAGCGTGGCTCCAGCTGGATGAGGATCTAAGCTCATAAACCGCGAAAAATGCGCAGCTCAGAAAAAAAATGGCATTGGATACGATTGCTGAAATAGGCAGAAATTCAAGCAGACGAAAAGAGTAAGTAGAAAGTTGGCTTGACGGGTGAGATGAAAGCTGCGGCTGGCCGCTACGGAGAAGAAGATGCATAGCTCTGACTGCAGGCTCCACCTAGGCGGTATACGGTATACCTAGCCACACCAAGTTCCACGTTGGCACGGTAAGAGGCGAGATCTACTGCAACTACCAGGCTGCAGGGAAGAGCCGTGGGCCAAAGCTCGCCATGATCGCTGCAGGTGAATACGTGGAGTGGAGGAAGCCGCCGCGCCGAAGCTTTTCCCCACGACGCGTCAACGTTCCGGCTGCAGCAAAGTACTATCGCATCCGAATTTGATACAACAGATCATCCTCTTCTTGGTGGCGACAGCAGCGACGCGGAGGACAACGATGCTGCGACCTGCGCGTCCCCTACATTACTCGTGCCGAATACTAGCGAAACCACTCGGTCTGACCGGTGCCTATTCACCAAGTCGACTTCGCGTGGCTGCGGGCCCCAACCAGAGGTCATTTGCCTGGTCGAGATTTCCCGATGCTTCACAAGGTCAGCCCAAGCCCCTTTTTTGCCATTAGCATTCGGGTGATCACCAAATTGACGTGTCTCTTGGACAACCCGTTGCGTCGTGGTCAAGGCCCTCGACTTTCCCGCCGCCAAGCTGCCTCACCGCGAAATCCCTCAGGTTCCCGACCACGAATAATCCTTGAACCTGTGCCTGATTCTGGCGATCCGGAGGTTGGACTGCAGCGTCTTTTGGAAAATGACGCACTGGTAGTAGTCAGGTGTGAAGCGATCCCACGCGGTGTGCTACCATGAACTGCTGATGACACCCCAACCTCTCAAGACAAATTGAGATGTTAAATATCTTCATTGGCTTCGAGCAGGCGAATAGATACGCCATCCGTAAGCAAACTGCTTTAAAATTCGTCCTTGCGTCTGGCTCAGGCATATTCTGTTTCAAGTTGATCAAAATGGAAATAACGTTGGCTTGTATGTTTTACCCACCGACAATCGCAAATGTTTCTGCAGTACTATGGAAGCTTACCCACTCTGGCATTCGCTCTATTGTAGCATTGCAGAAGAAGACCAGGGATTCTTTGGAACTTTTGCCCGACAGCTCTTTCGGACCCATCGAGCTTTCCGCTCAGTCATCATGGACCAGAACGGGAATCGTGTGTTGTGGGTACGCTGACCATCCCCCTCCAGCACTCTTGCTGCCTAATCACCATCGGCTCCTCTTCATGCCGCTCGCCCCCTAGATCAATCGACCATTCTCTTGGATAAATTCACGGTTGTTTGTACAACGAATTCCGCTGGAAAGCTATGAAGCCACAGGAGAGGAAGAACAGAAGGTAGTCTTAGGAGAAGGCCAGCAGGAATGGCATCCATGGCGACGAAAATACCACCTGTTCAAATCGTGCGTCCGGGGTTCTCATCGTTATCTGCAAACTCACGTGAGGCTTTGTTATGGACGCTAGACAAGGTTACCAGAAGTTTGACCAATTCGCGAGTATCAACGGAGGGTTCTGGGCCTGGGACTTTTTCCTGCAAGACGCAGGTGATAATAATATTGCCAGTATCAGGAGAAACTTTGCAGGGTTTGGGAGGGAAATATTCACTGATACAGGTGAGGACGGTGCCCCTCCTATGAGACCCGGGGATGCCACTACTACCCCCATTGAACAGGCCAATATGTGATTCGGTTCACGCCAGACCCAGATGCACCGAGTGACGCTGATCCGTCCAAGCCGATCGTCCAGCGAAAACTATCGCTAGAGGAACGCGCAGTAAGATCGACACTCTTAACTCTCAAAAAAAAATACTGAATATTGATCGCTATCTTTGAATATAGCTGGTTTTGGCCATGAGTGTTGGTATTGATTTTGATTATTTTTCGCGGCACTCAGAGGGTGGCGGCGGGATGGGGCTGCACTGGCTCTGGTGGTTTTCCGAGGACTAAAACCGGTGCATTAGTGGATCTGGTGTGACTCGGATAGCTGAACTAATAGATCTAGATTTGCGTATACGCAACGTGATGGATGTAGCTTTTCAGAGATGAACTTGAGCGGAAGTCATTCACAGCGCCGCTCTCTCACGCGAGGCGCCGAGTGGGCGGACTTGAAACTAAAATCTAAGATGGAGTTGTGGAAAGGCGGTCCTATTCGTGGTTTAGAGTGTGCTCAGCGAGGGATTTGACGACTTCATCCTAGGGCAGTAGTCTGGCTCCATAAAGACTTACCCTCATCATAATGCTCAGCCGCTGGCCACCTTTCACTTCCCTCCCGCGAAAAACGCCACCTTTCGACACGCTGTGCTCATATTTATAACGAACCGTGTCCCTGGTGTGAGCAGCAAAAAATCAGCTCTTGCCGCCGGTAACAGACCATTTGGGAGGTAGCTTATGAGAGCACACCCACCGCTGCACATATGCGCTGCCCGATGGTAGAAGCACATCAAACCACTCCCCTTTGTTCTCATCGTCTACCCTCGAAAAGCGCACAACCCTTTCGGCGCCAAGACTAATTCCGACGATGATACCTCCGCTCGCCTGGATGTTGTCGACATGAGGAAGTATTTCCCCGGCTGCTGCGAGATGAAGAAGGTGCGTCTGGATCTGGTCGGGCAAAACATGAGGGAGAAGAGTGGAATGTGCGCGAGCGAGGACGGCAGTAAGTAATGGAGGTGATGACGCGGGCCATTGTGTGATTTGGGTTTCGCGGAAATGGCGAATGACGCCGTCGTAATGGCCCTGCACGAGTCGGCAATTCGGAGTCGTGATAAGTGCCGTGAACATGCAGCGTGAAGTAAAAAAAAGAGAGTGCACCAACTTCTTCGAACGTGCATGTATCTTCGGGAGGAAAGAGCGAGTTGATGTCATTTCCCGCCGTATGCGCGTGCTCATTATCTTGTGCCCATTGTCGTCTTCGTTTCCTCGCGTCCCTTGGCACTCCCATCACCTCATCGAGCTTCTTCAACGCGCACGAGAGTAAAACATGCTGTTCTTTTGAATTCAAGAAAACCGGGAAGAGTTGAAAGTCCCTATGGAGCGCGGGTATCGTTCGTGCATCAGCCGACAAGCGTGCCAGATCGACCCGTGGTGATGTTGTGAGATCGCAGGCCCCTGATGCTGGGCGACTGAACAGCCTTTTGATTTTGAAACACGTAAAGGCCGGTCGTAGTCGACTTTGAAGGTGCGAGACCACAAGCTTGCGCGGTGTAGCGATGAAGTTCATGTTACATATCCCGGAAGCAAGTATTGCTTCACGCGTTTTGGTCGTGACTTCGCGGTGACTTGCAGCCTTGGGCGATATCTAAGCCAAACCCTCAGATGCATGTCTAATACAGAGTTTCACCCAGCAAGGAAGTATCTTGTCCGTCAGTTGAAATTCTTAAGTATGTATCAATGATCGGTTTGTATGCGCTCCTTGTGGAATCTGTCCTGACCCTCGATAGCTCAGTTGGAAGAGCGTGGGACTGTAATTGGAAAGTTGTCAATCCCGAGGTCACTGGTTCGATCCCGGTTTGAGGGACTCTTTTGGTGAGTTTGAGGGTGCATTTGCTTCCGTGCTGCAAGGCGCGCGCGCACGCACGACTTGTGCATGAACAACCCTGCTCTCACCCCAGATCTCTCCTGCAGACGGAAGCCGCGATTTTCTTTTCTCGCCCATGACCACGTCGTCGGCAGCTTCTGCTAAAAGTCAACATCCGGACATACAACAGCTATCGGAAAGTGCTGCCCAAGGCAACAGTAACGTGTATGCCGGCGTTGCACGAAGCTTGACTAGGGCAGTGGGCTTGTATTTCTCCCGGCCTGTAAGGTTATTCAGACCTGTTAAAGGTGCGCACGTGCCCCGTCCTTGCTTCATGCGTGCGCAAGGAGCTCATAAAACCAGTCAGCGGATGGACGACTCTCAGAGGCTCGGCCAGGCGTGATGGCGCGTCGCTCACCCCAGGCTATGTATCCACCTTAATCAGACAGGAAGGCGTAAGTCCTGTTTTCTATCTTTCCAGTCTCCTTTTCGTGGCGCGATCGAGCCTTCTGACTGCCACCAAAAGTGCAGTGGCTCGTAATCCCACGCCACTTCATCCCTCCGCTCGCCATCAACACGCTCCTTGGCACGCTCCTCTTCACCACCTATTCGACGTCGTATGCTTATCTCACCGAAGTATTCCCCGATCATTCCTCGACCCTTCTTGCCTCCGTGGCCGGTGCAGCCTCGGGTGCGGTACAGAGTGTCGCTGGCGCACCGGCGGAGAACGTGCGCCTAATATTAGAAGGCGGTATCCATGGGAATCAGCAGGCTGGTCACGCTGGATGGCGACAGGCATGGAAAGAAGTGTTTCTCGGTACTGAGTCATTTCGCCCGCACCTTTCGCACAAAGAGGCAAGAAGGGAGGCCAGGGCGGTCAGGTTGTGGATGAAAGAGGTTACTGGGATGGCAGGCAGGGGCTGGGATGGCTGGGCATGGGGTTGTGGAAAGGATGTTTTAGGTGTGTTCTTCTTGTGGAGCACGTACAGCTGCTGCTGCGAAAAATAGTGTCTAATCACATGGCATTGCACCCCAACGTCCAGGTTTTTCTCTTTTCTTCGCCGTGTTTGACATCTCTCGCCGCACGGCTCTTCATGTTCGCTCCACTGTCGAAGAGAGACAGCGCAGTCTCCATCCGGAGCTCATGCGCGAGCTCGACCGCCAGCATAAATCTACATCTGCCATGCGAGTAGCACACGGCCTTACCCTTGTGTCTGGTGGTGTTATCGCTGGCGTTGGGTACGAGTTAATTGGTCGGCCGTTTGACGTCATGAAACAACTCGTCTATCGAAATGACGTGCACAGGCGAACTTCCACCGATCCGCCGGTGCCACATTCGCGATTTATTCTGGAGAAGCTCAGAGAGAGAGGCATGCTCTACTTCTTCCGGGCCCCCCAGTCGGCCGTCAGTGACCCTACCCCAGACTCAAACGTGCTTTCGAGGCGGTGCTTTGCCGTTTTGCGCACGCTGGCTCGGGTTGGCCCTTGGGGCGTAGGCTTTCTGGTATGGGAAGCTATCGGAGGGGAGCTACAGTGACTACGCTCACATGGATATTTTACATAAAGTTCATCGTAGAATCTAATAAGGAAGTGGCCTAGGAAAGGCCGATTCAATGTACAGTGGCTTTTCTAGTGCGAGGAGCAACGGATTGCGCTCTATCAGCGTACCACAATTGCTCCCAGTAAAAGCGTTGAGCGAGGGTCCATACGGCTCCTGGTATCCACCATAAAGCTTGCTTGACGAGATAATCGACTCCGACCCGGTACGTTGGTCGGGGATGTCTAATAGCGAGATTAAATTAATGCCTCGTCTCGAGTGCGGGAATATGCGTAATGAATGCTTACTGAGATTGCAATGCATGAAGAATGCACTCGAAAGTTGTACTATCCGTAGGTAGCCACTCCGTCGAGAGTCGTGCCAGCCGGCGAGCAATATTAAGCTGGGTAGCTAACAAACCGGGTAAGCTGGATTCATAACCAGTCAGCCCATCATGAGAAGCTGACCAAATATCGGAAAGACAGCCTCTCCGCTGAGAAAGTCTTCGTTTGCTACCTTACTATAGATTCAACGACGTTTTTAGTATAGCACGATCACCGGTGACGCTGCTGATACTAACTTGCTTAAGATAGTCTGGGAGATAGTCGTTAGATCGGCCACGCATCGTCCAAGATGCCCTTGATTTTAGAGTATGAGCATTAGACCGAAAAGTGCTGTGCAGATGGAAAATTGAGTACCTATAGTCACCAAAGACACAGATATGCCTAGCGGTCGAAGCTCAGCGGAGAGAGTGCGAGCCATGGCCTCTCGGGCAGCTTTGTGCGGGGACTCATGACCGAATACAATTGCTTTGATCATTTCGTGCCCGGTCAGCCCAGCTGGCAAGCATAAAAGTGAAATGAATGCCACCCACATCCCAGGCTCGTTCTTGAAGGGGATGACAAAAATACTACCCTTCCATTGGACTTGTGCAATATACCTAAATATTGCTGAATCATCTTAAGTGGATAAGTGAGATGTTTTTCCACCATCCATGCGAGTAAGTCCGTGTTTGCCAACGACAGGGGGAAATAGTGATCATAGTCCCATAAAACCCGCTCATCGGCTGAGTCGGCGCCAAGTCGGTCTGATCGCGAGTAAGGGGGCCATAGTAGAGCGGAGAAAGATAGGGAATGAGTGGCACAATATGCTCGAATGGTTTCTACCGATTTGGTTCGTTCATCCGCCACGGCGGGATCAATGACGAGCGGAATGATGGAACCCAGAAGGGCATGGGGAGTATCTCGAGCTCGTTCCTTCTTACTTTGCCAGGCATAGAGTAGCTGCGCATATCCAGTTTAGTATAGAGCGCTCATTTGCGAGTGTATAACGTAAAATGGGACCAACAGAGGAGGCTCGAGAACTATCCCCGGTGCCGGGGTTGTGCGGCAGACAGGCAAAGACAGTATAGCCGCACTCCGCCAATTTTAGAGCCAAAGACTTGCCTACACCTTAATATATGGTAGGGGCATTGGGTGTGGATTGGCAATGTTACCATTATCCCGAGTGTCAGATGACAATGCGGGGTGCCTACCTTCACCCGCGTCTAGAACCAGAAGAGCACTCTGTTGGGGATCGCGCACGGGATATGGCTTGAGTCCAACTAGGATGCCAACTAAATGGAATACGCGGGAAGACACCGATTGCAGAAACCGGACTATCAACGCGTGTGCGGTGATAACTAGCCGCCACAGGTGGACCCGAAGGAGTTCGTAGAGTGAGGATGCGCTGGCCTGGTCATAGCGGGTAACGTGGTTGGAAAAACGAGGCGAATCGGGCGGATCACTTAATTGCACTTTGTCCATGAGATCCAAGGGATAACGGGGGGTGCCAGTGCTGGCGTCCAGTATGCGGCAGTAGCTACGACGGAATGCTGCGGTTGGCCTGCCCGGTCACAACGGCCACCCGGTGGTGCGGATGCAATAAGTACTGCCCCTGCACGTGATCCGGCTACTTTCTCGAGATGGTCACAAAGTCCACTTTTTTCTATACTTGAACGGAAAGAAAGAGGGGTCCCGTGTCTTGCAGGTCGGGCTATCCAGAGGCTCGACTTGCTCGAGCATTCCAGACCTGGGTCAAACTACGTTCAGCGGCCGGCTGGTCTGCCAATTGCTTCCGGGTTTTGCTTGCCATAACAAGCCCGCAGCCTTTTTTGTTCACCAACGAGCTCCGCCAATATTACGTTTGCTCATCATAAATTTATTTCCTCCCTTCCAACCACCACATCTGGCGCTTCGATCAAACGCTCTTTATCCTCTGCGACTGCAGGCGAATTAAATCAGTCCGAAAAGACAAACATTTGCAAATGCTCGTGGGACTCCTTCCAGTATTCAACCCAGTGCCTTCGCCAGGGCCTACGCCCGCACCAGCTCTTCCCTGTGCCCTTACTTTGGTAGTATAGGAAAGAGGGTGCCGACGTGCGGCTCCCTCGCTGTGACGAAGCTGAAAATGGGGTTTACGAACCCCCTGGGCAAGTTGGCCCTGCTTCCTGTCCATCGCTCTAGACCAGAAAACGAAGATCGCGACCCCTCGGGCCTCTGCATTTAAACTTCCCATGGGTATCCCATATCCAAGAAGGCATTCTTGGGGATGACGTCCTCGACTATGCCACTCCGGTTATTACCACGATCGTGGACGAAAGTTACGAAATCTTTGGTCTTCGTCGTCACGTGCCGTCGTAGACGTCGAAGGTCGACTCTATTGATTCATTGTGTTCGACCTCACCATCCTTTCACAGTGAGAAAACAGAAAGGAAAGAGATGCATTAGGAACTCCAAACTTTCAACGCTATTCGATCGGTGATGCAAACAAACTCTCTTTGAGCACCAGAACTTTGGGAGGTAGATTTTGCGCGGTTCTGTAGGCGAAGTCACCATCGAATATGTACGTGATTCGCGCGCCCAAGAGTTGAGATGGATATAATGCAATTATTATAAATGGCTAAAGTGAGATGGATACAGCAGGTGCGATATGGAAACAGTGGATGATGGGAAGGAAAAATATTGGTGCAGAGAATGATAGAAGTTGAGATTGCCGGGGTTTTTATCCTGTCAAAGGATGGCGACCGTTGGTGAAGATATGGTGGTTCTCCGGAAACCGCCCATGTGCAGTGGATAATTATTGGGCCGCGACGACGATGCCTACCCTTCTAAGTCAAAGTGACGTCCATCGAAAAGAACGGGGATATGAGCATCGGTGGTGATCGAACGATCTCAGTGTGCTGAGACTCACGGCAGCGTCACGCTCTCACCCGACTCCAAAACCACTCTAGCGACTTGGGCACCCTAGGTAAACGAGATCGGACCTTAGCAGAGGTCGGGTGAGCGAGAATCGAGAGCAGCAATGTACCATGGCACTCCACTCGAAGCCCTGGACTGTCCCAAAGACTTGGTGGCCGTTTTGGTCGTAAAAGTAGACGCGAGTTTCGACCTGGAAGATGCGCGAGTGGTCAGCAAGAAGTAAG